TCGTACAGCTTGAAAACGATGTTGGCTATTTATAGAAAACTTTCTAATACGGCCCATTGAGGATTCAAAAGACATCTAGAAACGTGAAGTAATGTTAGAGATCTCTTTGAAACTTTTATAGCAAGCTTTAAATTTTTATTCGTTGTGCTATGTATAGTCTACAGCTTGCTTTGCTGTCCTCTTCACCAACATTCTTCCGTACAGCTTGAATGTGATGTCGGCTATTTATAGAAATCTTTCTAATACGACTCGTTGAGGATTTCAAAGATTTGGAGACGTTAAATCGTGTTTAGAATGTCTTTGAAACTTTTATTGCAAGCTTTCGCTTTTTTATTCGTTGTGCTATGCATAGTTTACAGCTTACTTTGCTGCTCTCTTTATTTTTTCTACTTCATTGTGCTATGTATAGTTTGCAGCTTGCTTTGCTGTTATCGAAACCAAGTATATTCTCCCGTATAGCATGAAAGCAAACTTTCTAATACGGCTTGTTGAGAATTTCAAAGATTTGAAGACGTTAAACCTTGTTAAGAATCTCTTTGAAACCTTTAGTGCAAGCTTTTATTTTTTTCGTTGTGCTATGTATAGTTTACAGCTTTCTCATAACCAAGTACATTCTTCCGTGTAGCTTGAATGTGATGTCAGCTATTTAAAGAAAACTTTCTAATACGACCCGTTCAGGATTTCAAAGACATTTCGAGACGCTAAATCGTGTTAAGAATCTCTTTGAAACCTTTAGTGCAACATTTTTGCCATGTATAGTTTGCAGCTTGCTTTGCTGTTCTCTTGACCAGGTACATTCTGCCGTATAGCTTAAAAGCGATGTCAGCTATTTATAGAAAACGTTCTAATACGACCCTTTCAAAAGGGTTTCAAAAGACATTTAGAGATGTGAAATCGTGTTAAGAATCTCTTTGAAACTTTCAGTGCAAGCTTTTATTTTTTCTACTTCATAGTGTTATGTATAGGGCTTATTCACCACAGATTGTCACGTGACTATCCCCCTGGCGTCCACCATTTTGGGGTCCAGCGTAGTGCCTATCGCTATGCAATGCTATGCAAACTCTTGGCGATAGTTGCATATTTTGGGCCACAATCAACGTTTTGGACACTCTTCTTGTTAGTAACATTGTCCTTGGGGTTGTTTTGGCTCCGCGTCCACGTCTCATGTTGTCAAGATTGGCTTTTATGTTGTTTTTTTTTTTTTTTTGCTGATCAGAAATCGGTGTGTTTTACCCTGGCGCGGCGTAGGGGGCTGTAGAACATGGGTAGCCATGGGTAGCCTGTTGGAGCTACTTGTCCCTTTACTCTGTGGTAAATGTCCATGTAGAACAGGGCGCTGACAACTTGCAACACTCACCTTGTCCAGCCACAGTCGCGGCAGTGCGGACTGAGGATGGCGGCCGATGGCCCCCGCAGCCTTTGCTCAGTGTTGTTTATCCAGACTCAGTCCGGGGCTGTTCGAAAATAGCGACCTTTTGCGTTTCCCGACTACAACGTACTTAATTGTCATCACGCAACTGTCCCACAACACTTTTTACACATCCTGATACAACGCTTCCAGACTCTTAGAGGGTTTGAAACGATGTTGTGTGTAAAAACTTCTGCACAGTACCAAATACGAAGCTAAGTCACGTCAATGGACTCCGCTGGCGGTAGGCGGTCTCGATCAGACTGATCAAAACTCAACAAAAACGGGTCAATCCCAACAAATTTTATTTTGTTCCAGTAACGAGAGGTATGAGTGGTCGTGTAGTCGGACAAAGGACAGTTTACCTAACGTTTGTCGGCCATTTCAACGCTTGGAAACTCGCTGTACAGATGAGCCCCAAAATGGCGTCGCACGGGACATGAGGGGTCATGGCGTCATGATGACGCGTGGTGAATAAGCTCTATAGTTTGCAGCTCGCTTTGCTGTTTATTCTCGTGACCAAGTACATTCTCCCGTGTAGCTTAAATGTGATGTCAGCTATTTATAGAAAGCTTTCTAATACGGCCCAATGAGATTTCAAATGACATTTAGAGATGTGAAACCGTGTTACGAATCTCTTTTATTGCAACCTTTCAATTTTATTCGTTGTGCTATGCATAGTCTACAGCTTGATTTGCTGTTCTCGTGACCATGTACATCCGCCGGTATAGCTTGAAAGCGATGTTGGCTATTTATAGAAAACTTTTGAGAAGACATTTAGAGACCTTAAATCATGTTAAGAATCTCTTTGAAACTTTTATTGCAAGATAACTTTTTATTCGTTGTGCTATGTATAGTCTACAGCTTGCTTTGCTGTTAACGTGGCCAAGTACATTCTCCCGTATAGAGATTTTATAGAAAAATTTCTATTACGACCCATAAAGGATTTTAAAAGACATTTAGAGACGTTAAGAATCTCTTTTAAACTTTTAGTGCAAGCTTTATTTTTATTTTTTTGATTCGTTGTGCTGAGTATAGTTTACAGCTCGCTTTGCTGTTCTCATAACCAAGTACATTCTCCCGTATAGCTTGAATGTGATATCAGCTATTTATAGAAAGCCTTCTAAAATAAAATAATAGGCTCGAGAATTTCAAAGATTTGGAAACGTTAAATCGTGTTAAAAATCTCTGATGCAAGCTTTTATTTATTCGTTGTGCTATGTATAATTTACAGCTTGCTTTGCTGTTCTTTTAACCAAGCACATTCTCTAGTATAACTTGAAGGCAATGTCAGCTATTTTATTTTTAACTTTCTATTTGAAAAGACATTTAGAGACGTGAAATAGTGTAAAGAATCTCTTTTAAAGTTTTATTGCAAGCTTTTACTTTTTATTCGTTGTGCTATTCATAGTTTACAGCTCATTTTGCTGTTATTGTTTATATTTTACGATGAAGTGTATGTATCATTGAACATCATTGAATTGCGTTTGTAATAATAATAATAATGAAGACAAACGGTTTCATGATTCTATGACGAACATAAGACAAAATTTAGATCAATAATTTTAGGTATACACTGTTCCCTAGAGAAGGTCCTAGCTATAGACACCCAGGCTATTATTTAAAGGCACCCAATGAAATTTCAGAGCGGAAACAAATAAGATTGGATTTTTCTTGATTATCCTTTTAATGTAGCATATTGAGTCATTCCCGTCCCATACTAGTAATACAATAATCTTTATTTGCAAAATCATGTCCGAAGGCTAATTGCTTTTACAGTCGAAGATACTACTAGTACTCGGTACAATACAATAATAGGACACAGACAAATACTGTCTGGAAAAACTAATAATTCTACTACTACGTAAATACGTTAGCTATTATGAGGTTTGACTTCTTCTTTAAGGCAGTGGATAATGAATTCTGCATAATTAGTGGGTTTTGTGATCTTAGTAGAAACGTAGTCCTTTGGTGATCTTCTATATGATGAAAGGATGGAGAAACGCATACTAATGTCTGTATCACAATGCAATGTCAGGGTTGCTTGTTTTGTATCGTAGGTTGTTTCTAGCTACGGTACCACCAACGACACCTTACGTTACTTGCTTTGCGACTATTTCAAATGCTTCTTGTATGAAATGATTATCAAAATGTGCTTCTAAGAAATAGCACTAAATATCAATATCAGACACATCATCTTCATCCAGGATAGTCTTTCTTCTGCATTGCACTGGGTGCTTTTGAATCAGAATCGGTCTCTACTATCATACGGCAAATTGCAAACAGAGCGAAACGTAAATACAAATTCCCCACGACAGCTCAGCTATATTGCAATTAGCAAGGCACCTTAAAGCTATTTAACAGTGAAGATAAATGCCTGTGACGCATTCGGGGCAGGTCAGGAAATGGGGCATTCCATTTTTTTTCTTTTGCATATAAGGCTATGTTCATTTAATCATATGGATGAGATCCGCGCGTCTATGAATTTTCGTTCGTTTAAAAAAACGTTTTTGACCATACTGTAAATCGTACAAAATGACGAAATATATGTCTTATGTTGCAAAACAAAGGGTTGGTTGCAAAATTAAACTAATTTCATTGAATGCCGAATTCAATTCAAAAGAAAAGAAAATTTGCCAAACCATACCCTGTGTGTTTAGTCAATTGTTAAACCATTATGTCGGGAAATGACAAAAAAACACAAAGCAATTCTAAAAGCCTGTTAAAAAATTAAGAAAAACATTACGCCTGGAGGTATTTTCCCACACTACCTCCATGCCAAATTTCAGGTCATTTGGCTGAAAAAATGGTAGAGTTCAATCCATAATTACACAGTCCTCTGAAAATTCGGTGGCCATGCGATGAGAAATTTACCAGCTACAGGGGCGGGCCTCAACCACCACCATTACCCTCCCCGGCTCCAGAATGACAAGAAAATCCCGGTTCTAATAGAGTTAACAAATCTGTTGTCGAAAGACGTAGCTGCCAGACAGGGCCCATTACCATGGCGGTAGACAAAGTACGCAGTAATGAGCCACAGGAAGAGCACGGCTCATCCTTTATACAGGGTTCCAAAAGGGCAGAGCAAATGGGAAATGGAGAATGTCTTGAGGGTATGGGGTACTTTGGGCACATCAAACCTATTGGTTTGCCTCGTGTTCTGTGTAGACCATTCAGTTTAGCCGTGCATGGATCTTGTGTTAACAGGTAGACATATACATACCGAATATGTAATAGAAGGTTGTAATAGAAGGTTGTAAAAGAAGGTTGTAATAGAAGGTTGTAATAGAAGGTTGTAATAGAAGGTTGTAATAGAAGGTTGTAATAGAAGGTTGTAAAGAAGGTTGTAATAGAAGGTTGTAATAGAAGGTTGTAATAGAAGGTTGTAATAGAAGGTTGTAATAGAAGGTTGTAATAGAAGGTTGTAATAGAAGGTTGTAATAAAAGGTTGTAATAGAAGGTTGGCGTGCCTCCTTCTCTTCCCTCACATTCTTTTTTTAAGTTGGAGAACAATTTATTTGTTATTTTGTAATTAATAAGCTCATATGAACTTATGCTAATACAAATGATATATTTCTTCACAATTCTACAGATCTGCAGTAGCAACCATTACGTCATCTATGGCAGGCGGGATCGTCGGTCTCCTCTTAAGGTAAGTCTTTTAAATGTCAAAATCCCTATTTTGCCATTTCTTTAGGACCAGCATTTGCTCGGAAGCAAATGCGGCATATTTCACTCCATCCCCCTCTGAATTCCATAATAATTCCTTAATAAGGGTTTCAATACCCCATGTACTGTACAATACACCGTAGAAGGTCTCTTAGTAACAATTGTACTCGAAACTTGCATACAGGGATAGTGAGTTATAGCTGCGAACCACAAATTATAATATGAAGGTATGGTATGAAGGTAGCACGTCGGCAGAAGGCACTGCGCCTACGTAAACCCCCAATTTTTTACGTTTTTTTGTTCGATTTTTAGTCAACGTTGCATCAGAATTTTGCCTGTTGCAGACGAGATTTTTTCCGACACAACATTGGGAAACTACAGACGGAATGTGAACCTTAAATGCGCGAATACAACCTCATATGAGACGTTTTGCCGAAGTGCTATGTACAATACATTACGGATTTCGTGCAGGTGCAGTACGTCCTGCCGACGTGCTTATGAAGGCAAATGTTATGTCTAAGTTTCATTTCATTTCATTTTGTTTATTTATCTAGGGACAGCATATCGCCAATAGCTGTTTTCAACGCTCCCTGCACAGGAAAATACATGAAAAGTATAAACTAACTTAGGTACAATCGTAATGGTCGTAATAATAAAAGAAACAGAACAAACTAATAACGTACAGAAAACAAACTAAATATATATGACAAAGAATGTACAGGATATTAATAATGGAACTGAATTTGCAATTCAATGTTTATGAACAAAATGCAAAATTGTTGCAAAACGTTAAACTTTATTCCAGCACACTATTTACAGGGATCAAATTTTCAGCGACCACTGTCGCCTTCATCAAGATAATTAATGACCAATCACTTCACAACGTGATCTCGCGAGAGTTACTTTTGATCAATTGCTTACGTCACGTATCAGTAAAGTCTCGTGTGAATAAGGTCACGTGTTTGTAAACCGTAACTCTCGCGAAATCACGTTGTGAAATGATATTGGTCATTAATTATCCTGATGAAAACGACAGTGGTCGCTGAAAATTTGATCCCTGTAAATAGTGTGTTGGAATAAAGTTTAACGTTTTACTATGATTACTACCAACACAGATGAATGATAATCTCAAAATTGTTGTTTTTTCTCCCTCCAGCTACACCACTACCCGTATGTTTGAGATCCCCTACCTCCTGAACGGCGTGCTGGGTTCTTTAGTGTCTGTCACAGGTAGGGTCATACTTATGTTACTAAATGATGATTACGGTTTGCTGAAGTTCGGGAGCAGTGACCAGATCTAAGCCACACTTACCTTTCTATATGATTTGAATCGAATTTGAGTTAGATTTGAGTCAAGCTTTCAATTGACACGCGAACACGCCCGAACAATGCATGACATCTTCCGAAGACTCCAAATCTAAAGCGATAGGGCGAAAAAAATACAAGATTTCTACATTTTCAAATTCTTACATTCTTACACCAGCCAACCAGGCCTCAACCATGGCAAAACCTCCTATCCAGATTCGGAATGTCTGCAAGGTCGTCGCTCCCAACTTATGCTTGTCAAATTAACACCATTTTTATTTTGAAACATTCTGCTGGCGCAACCAAACAGTAGACAACCACAGCCGACCTTGCTCCCGACCTATTCCTAACCATAGTTGGGGAGAGTTCGGTTAGTGTTCTCTGCCACTTCAAAGACCCCTTGCAGAACAAGGGGGTGAAGGAGGGCTATCTATGCATGCTAAGAGTCGGCATTACGCACATATAATGTAACACATAGCATGCATCATGCAGTATGCACATGTCAAGTCAAATTTATTACGCAACAATTGCTTTGGATACAACGTATGGCAAATAATACTTAATAAGTATAAACTATTTATACTAAGTGTACTAATCTAACTCCAATACATGTATCATATGTTATAATGGAATATTACATTTCACATTGCTGTGACATTGTTTCTCTTTTGTACAGCATTATGTACATATTTGCCTAGGTAGACAGATATAGAGTCGGGGCATGATAAAAGCATGTTGAAAATGTAGCATTCTTGATCTTTGCACAATGATAACAGAAGGTCGTAGCACATGTAGCACTTTTTTTTTTATTTTTGCACAATGATAACAGAAGGTCATAGCTTATAGCTAGCAATATACTTTTTACATACCTGGCACAATTACTTTATCTAATCGCCCTGTAACTTTAACAGTAACACGAAACTTCAACAAAACATGACTTTACACTGACCTCACCCATTCAAGCTGCAAGAATGATTGTCTGAGGTTTGACTCATGCTATCCATAGTTTTTCCAATGTCTTGTAAACGCCTTTTTTTTTTTCATTGTAAAAGTGGCTGCAAGAATATAAGTTATACCTAACTTGAGTTCGCAGTCCATGTCCTTTTATTTGTATTTATCGCTTCTGAATAATAAAAAAAACGATTGTCGTATTTCCTTCCTGTTCCAATCTTCAAGTCAATATATACCTTACCACGTGCGCTTTGTGTAAAGCCGTATGAAAAGAAGATTACAAAAGACAAAATCTGACGGCTTACACCCGCATTCAGGCTTACATATAGATCATTATAATAAGATCAAGCTGCAAGATTCTGCATGAACAACTATGAAAGAGGTGCTAGTGTAACGGAAATGAAAAGAAACCTACAGTGGGGGTAGCTGGAAGACACACGAAAAATGTCCAGACTATGCATGATGTACAAAATGACTAATAAACTGGTGGACTTCCCAACCACTATGTATCTGATACCAACCCAGAAGAGAACAAGAAACAGTCATGCCTTCAAATATCAGAGGTATCAACCAAAAATTGAGATGTTCAAAAACTCGTATTTCACAAGAACTATGATCGTAGACTGGAACTCGTTGCCACCAAGCACAGTTAAGGCATCATCACTAGAAAGCTTTAAACAACTCCTGCAATTAAATGTGTAAAGATTGAGTGTAACAAGTCGTTCGGTGTGATATACCTAGCTGCCGCCACGCCAAGTGCCGAGTACGAAGCTAGTGTGTTACGCCGAAGGGCGGTTATACTGGCTATACTGGTACAGATACAGAAGAAATCTTATCCGAAGATTTAAAGTTGTCCCTTTTACAGACGCCTTTAAATCAAACTGCGCCAATATTCCAAGCTTGAAAAAATTCCTTTTATATAATATTATATACTTGACGTGCTATCGTTTGAAACGTTGCGTTGTTTTCATAACCGTTTTTACCATGTTCTTTCCGAAAGAAATCAGGCCATCGAACACCATGAGTCTATTCATTTAACAATGGTTCTATAAATAAATCTGGACCTCTCGAGCAATGTCGTCAAATACAGTGATAAAAAGCTATGAAAGGCGTCGTGTTGTAAAGCATTTTTCGCAGACTATATGCTTTTAGGCTACAGCAAGTAACTTGTATTGATGACATCAGCGCGCGCATTAATTTTGCCTTATTTTGGAGAAAAAAAATTGTTGCTCTCTGACAGTGGTCAACTTGTCGAAAATGGGCCAAAGTGTCTGTTGTCAAGCCGAAAGGCGGATATGGCAGATAAACATGCAGAAAGTAGGCACGACAATGCTCTGATTTAATTTTTTTTTTACTTTGATGCAGTGATATATTTTTCATATATTTCATGTTCCAACTAAATCAAAACCATTTGTACAAAAACTCTTTTTAATTTGTGAGAAATGAATGTTGTAATAGTTGGCAGTAAACGTAACATTTCTTGTTTAACAAGGTTTTTAATGTCAAAATTTGAAACTGTAGAAATCGTGTGGGTTTTTTTGGCCCGCCTTATTTTTTTCGCTCTATCGCATTGGAGTCTGTGGAGGATGTTATCCATAAACTTTACTTGCTGTGGCCTTACTATACTTTAAAAGGCTTGGACTATATGAGTGCACTCCAGTGAACCATTCAGCTGGATTCAACAGGTCAGGCTCTCAATGTGAGGCTACTTTAATGAACATAAATAATTTTCTATACGATAAGGACCATTGAGTTCTTACCAGCATTGATCAGGGGTGTACAGAGTACACAGTGCAATTTTACGGAATACAGTGCAATCGTATTAATATACGGTGCAATTTTACGGAATACAGTGCAATCGTATAAGTATACGGTGCAATTGTACTAAGTATACAGTGCAATTGTACCAGTAAAACACTAATACGATTGCACTATATTCCGTAAAATTGTACTGTACACTAATACGATTGTACTGTATTCCGTAAAATTGCACTGTATTCCGTAAAAGTGCACTGAATACTCTGGCACCCATGTCGATAATACTTGAAAATGTAATAGTACAGCAAGTTTGACGGACCGATACTTCCTAATAACCCAGAAACTGATTTATGATGATTTATTAATTTATGATAACTAAACTTCTATGTTAATAACCATGAGTGATACAGGGTATTATTATCAATATTCAAACTCATAGAGCCAAATTGTTAAATCTGTCGATTCAGACGTGATTGTAATTTGTATTAATGACCCTACTGTTAATGATGCAATAATTATGTTATAAACAAGCATCAAAATTAAGCCTTGTACGTTAAGGCTGCGAGTTATGTTGTTGTTGATACAAATAGATAAAAAATAAATAACAAAATAAAAAATACTTTGTTTCATACCAGTATTGCACTACGCAGACTATTTATGAAATTTTTAACGTCACTTTCCACTCCTAAAATAAAATAATAATGCCCAATATATAATGCAACGCACGTTTCACGTACATGTACTTGATGATGTTAACATGAATATTAAGTCAGCTATAAATACCACTCGTTAAATCTAACTTCAAAACCTGCCTACAAAATGTCGAGTTTCATTGCATTCCAGTCAATGCAAAATGTCGGCAACAAATTTTTGATGGAAAATCCATATGTTGTCATTACTTCATAATACTGCCGAAGACATATAGCAGATCCATATAGTATATCCAGCGTGCTGTGAAATATTTTATACGTTAAAGATTATGTTGTTTGGCACCTTACAGGGATCGAAATACCAAAGTACAATGTGCCAAATGCACATGACTTTAATGATTTCCACTTATAAATATTTTGAATGTGCAATTTTGCACCTAGAGCAGGAGAGGAGGCTAGGGGGGCCTTGCAGGCAAAGAAGCACAAATTAACCATAAGTTATTTTTATAAACAGTATATTTTACTTTACATATAGTGCATGATAATTATCGTAACGAAAAATATGCAATAGATAATTAATTAATTGCTCTTAGGCTGTTGGTAAATATCTTTATGTACCGTTACGGTATGAAATGTTTTTAATTTCGGGAAGTTTCAACAGTTACTTTGGTATTTGTGACATGTGGAGAGTGGGAGGTGCGGCGAAATGTTCTCTCAACAGACAAACTCCGTTGGCATGCTTATCTCTCTATTTGGCCGATTTCTACTCTTTCCAGCCGCCTCCCGAAGCCTGGTAGAGGGGTAGGAGTCTCTACTAGCGGCGCCCTGGAAAACTAAAGCAAATTCCGAAAAATACAAAAAAATTTCGTTAAACTTGATATTTTTATTCTTTCAAAGCGTTGTATTTTAAGTTTTGTTATTGAAAGTAGAAACATCGTGCAAATAACACATACTACGTAGGAAGGTCAGTTTTATGCATTGTGGGCTTAATTTTTGCAGGATACTTCCACTGAGCCACCTGGACAAGAAATCGTGTCCCACAGTTGCGGTTGAAAACAGTTGCAGACCGACTGAATATAATTTTGAACATATTTTTTTTTTCAAATTGCACCTAAAATTTTGGCAATTTTGCATAAACCTGAAAAAAAGTATTTCGAGCCCTGCCTTATGACTGAGGGTGTCTGCGCTAATCTGACACAAATAGATGAGCCCTTGCAACGTGCCGAAGGGTTTGTAAATAATTGATATGATCTCCACCAAATTGAAGGATCTTTCAGGCTTACAGCAAGAGCAAGGTTACACGTGGCTGTGCATCACTCTAAGCACATACGTATTCATCATGCAAGTCATGGAAACACTTCAAATCTGTCTTCTTTGAATTGCTCTTAAGGCCACGGTAAGTAAATTTCATGGATGACATCATCCGCAAACTCCAAATCTAATGCGAGAGGGCGAAAAAAACAAGGCGAGCCGAAAAAAATCATTCATTTTTAAATTTTGACATCATAAACCTTCGTTGTTAAACGAGAAATGATATCTATATTGTGCTAAGTTTACTATTACAACATTCATTTCTCACTGAAACAAGTTTGAAAAATGAAAGTATTAAATCATTGTACAAATGGTTTTGATTCGGTGGGAACATCAGATATCGCCATCACATAAAAAAGGAATGAAATACATCACTGCATAAAAGTAAAAGGCAAATATAACATTAGAGTCTTGTCTCCTCTCTTCATATCTTCATACATGTATGCAGTTTGCTATTGCTCGACAAAGTATGTTACCAGGCCCTAAAGCGGGCTTTCCGATCACTTGCTACATCCAAACTATACTGTACTGTGTTTATAAAGTTACAATTTTTTATCCAACACAACACAACAAAGTTCTCTCACCTAGAGCTTTCGACCAGTCACTCTGGTCTTCCTCAGTAGACTGACCCAGTGAAGCTTGTCACGTGGCTTCTTTGAAGTGTGACGTCAACACTGGGTCAAAGGTATGGTAGACGATGTCGTGAGTGAGGGGTGATGGGCCCTGATGTAAATGGCCTCTTTCACCCCTCTCAGGAAATAGCCTGTAGTACTCTATTTTACACATTCAAATATACTGTACTGTGTACATGTATAACAATAAAACTTCTGTCTGGCAGGTATTTGCGCGTTGGCGCACCCCTGGGAGGGCCTGTTTATCGGCGCGGTGGGCGCGCTGATCGCCTGCGGCTCCACGGAGCTGCTGGAGAGGTGGCAGGTGGACGACCCGGTGGGCGCCGTGCCCGTCCACTTCTCCTGCGCGGTCTGGAGCCTCATCAGCATCGGCATCTTCGGCAGGATAGACACGCTGGAGCACGCCTCGCAGTTCAACGGACTCATAGCGGTAACAGTCTTTATCTAGCCCGTGCGGCAAAATGTTCTCTCCCAGCAGACAATCTCCCCTGGCATGTTATCCCTCTCTATTTGGCTGATTTCTACTCTTTCCAACCGCCTTCCGAAGCCTGGTAGAGGCTAGTTTTTATCACCATGTTTTAGGGCAATCTATCTTTGGAACAAATTACGGCTACAAATCAAAATCTACGGCTACAACTAACTTTAAGAAAGCTATCCGCCAACTGTGACATGAGTCATCAGAATGGCATGCAGAGCAAGCAACCAATAGGCATGCAGCTTTCCTCTATTCTTCTTGCTGATTGGCTGTTGGTATTCGATTGGGTTATCTCAATTAAAAGCTGCACACAGCCATACCATATTGACAGTATTAAAGTGTTTTGGTAGGTATGTCAAACTTTCATTCTCAAGCATTCGAATGCGGGGCATAAACCCTTTTTCTTAATCTTAAAAATCAACAGTTAGCATTATGAAAATAACAATCCTAACGAATAATGTAGGAGATAGCTATCCAACTGTTGCATATGCATTCTTAGTTTTATGTCACTTCATACTATATTTTTATCAATAAAAGACAATATAAAGCATTGTTTTCCCTTGTATTTCTCCTTCTTTCCCTGTCATGTCATGAAACGTGGTGAAGCCATGCTACATTTGCTCCAAAGCAAATGTCGGCCTTTCTAGTTGTACACTTCTTTTTTACAATCATTACAGGGTGGAGGGTTCTACCTTCTGGGGATCCAGGTGCTGGCCGCCGCCTCTCAGATCGTCTGGACCATCGTCACCTCTTACCTAGTCCTGAAACTGGTGGACGTGACGGTAGGGCTGCGGGTTCCCCTGGACAAGGAGATACTCGGTACGTAATTTTATACCAAAACATTTGTCATAGTAAGACCACAACAATTTAATTTGTTGGTTTACGGACTCGCCTGCTTCATTTTGTTCTGATTTGCAAAACATTTCAGCCTCAAAATCAAGTCCCAAATGCTCATATTTTGGGCCCAACAGCTAAAGGAAGTCCCTACTCTTCAAAGTTGGTACAGGTTTTCCATCGATCAATGCAGTGACTTGATTAAAAGTTTGAAATTCATTGTTTGAATTACAAGCCAGGCTAGTATGTTGACTTCATGGCTCCTATCATAGCATTTAGGGCTATCTTAGGATGCCAATGTCTGCTTTTATTTTTATTTTTTCGCCCTGTCGCTTCAGATTTTAAAAAAAATATCCGAGAACCAACAAATCAAATTGGCCATGGTCAGGCCTAACCTAGAAACAATTCTGCGTATAGTACCGTTGTTAACGACCTTGTGCAAGAGGGCTGGAGTTCGAATCCCTCAATTGTTGTCCCTCACTCGAAATGCAGGCTACTGGAAAGGGTCGCAGTCCTTATCAGAACTGCAGTTAGGCAGAAACTGTGAAGAGAGATTTGGCGAAATCATCGAAGAAATGAGAACCGATTAAATCGGGCTTTTATAGCCTCAGGCTGGTATCCAGTCTTACGTGGTAGGGGCGGGTTCTCCTCGGGACTGCAGGAGCTCTTTCCCGCCCGCCTGAGCTAGGTTTCCCGGTGGGTATTTCACGAGAGATTTATTAGCCCTACCACGAACGTGTTAGGGCAAATCAAATCCCCAAGCATGATATATCTATTAGCGTAACGGGTCGGTCTGTTGAACTGGGCGGGGGAAAGCTATTAGGGCCCCGAAGACACAGCCTGCCTGAACACCCCAACATCCCCAATCACGTAAGACAGGATACGAGGCTAGGCTTTTAGCGACCATTCGACTGATTGACCATGAAAACGGGCGTTACGTCCTACGAGCAGGGAAAGTTTTCCGGCCACCCATGGCCAGACTACGGCGAAGCCACTCAAGGCTATCGCCCGTTTCTCTCTCTTTACTCCCCTACAGGAGCGGACTACTGTGAACACGGTGTCGGGGAACCCGACCGAGACAACCCCGAGGGAGCTTCCGAGGATGACGACGACTCTCTGGACAACGGCTCGCCTCGCCAGGACATGCGTTTTCTGGGATACCACGGCGACTACAGACCACCCGAGCACCACCACCACCATCGTCACCATCATGGCGACGTAGACGGGGAGGTCGTGGAGAGAAAGGTGAGGCGCCGGCCCTCGGGCGGTTACTGCGGGCACAGCTTTCGCCAGAAGCACCGCATCCGTCTGCCCAGCGCATCGTCGGTCGCGTGCTGCTGCCATTGCTGCCAGTGCCAGTGTCACCGGTACGACGAACTGCCATCCGACTGCGACGATTCCGAACATGAACTAAAAACTTTAAGTAAGAAGAGAAGAAACGTCTTGTCTTGCTGCAGGAGGCTCGTGCAGTGCTGTAAGAAACGCCAGGAGGCGAAGGAAGACGGTGACTTGAGACGCGGTGACACTCATCTGAAAGATGTTGCGACCAACACGGGTAGTTTGAAAGTCGTGACGCAGGAAGTAGTAACTGGATTGTAGCTTGCATCTGCCACGTACCGACTGGACCAGTGGAGAACTTTAGACCCTCCTCCTCCAACCGAAGCTGTACAGAGCCCACCCGAGTCCCTACCTCATGGCACTCACTTGCCTAGAAGGAAATGGGCTGCCCTGAATAGAGCTAGATGTGGACCAGAGATAATCTGCTAAAATGGGGACGGGTGAGCTCATCAGCTGACTGCCCATGTGGCCACCCTACCCAAACCATGCAGCACATCCTACAGGACTGCGAATTATATTAGGACCATCTGTCAGCAAACGAGACCTGCACGATGCAGACCAGGAAGCCCTGGACTGGCTGGAGCAGTGGGCCGACAAGATATGATGATGATGAGCTTGCATTAGGTACTATTTTTCGGGACAATCAACGTTAATAGCTCCGGCTTGCCTAGTTGATTTTTTTTCGGGGGGGGGGGCTATATGTTGAGTGTCACGTTGGGTTCGGATATATTACCGTACGAATAAAAAAACAAGCGGGAGAGAAAGTCAGGAGAGAAAGATCAACCGAATGAAACAAGAAGTGACGCCATTAATTATCTTGACCGCACCATAGACTATTACCAACCTTTAGAAAGAGTCCATAATACATTGTAATATTTGTGGATCTGAGTCCAGTCTAATTAGCATTAGTCCAATCCAAGTAACCAAGGTGACCAATTATTTGAGTCACACATCGTCATCACACTCACAAAACTCAATCAGCTATTCCCATTCTAGCCCCTGGCCCAGAGCCCTGGCCCATGGGCAGTTTTTTTAAAGCATGTCTTTTTTTTATATTTACCGAAGGAAAACATATTGTTTTTGCTACGTTTCTTCTTCTTCCGTTCCAAACACTGATATCTGGCCAATGACTTGATTTGTTGACGTCTCTCACCATGGTAACTGGTGTTGGGTTACATAATGTTGCAATTTTATAGTAGGAGGGATTTATACTCTTGTCTGACCATATATATGAATGTATTTGAGTAAGAATTAACAGAGCAGACCATATGCGAAGGTAAACATTATGCATTTGCTTTGCAAATGTTACCTTTCTAGTTTTTCTTTATGATAGAAGGTACTTGCATGTGAACTGAATATGTGTTTTTGATGGCATTTACTGGGATGCGCTGGGCTTAAAGAAAATATGAATAGTCTGAGGAACTGACTTATTATTTTAAAAAGGTATAAAAAAAACTACAATCTTGAAGCAGCCAATAACATTGTTAAGTCCATCACCGCTTCTAATCATCTGGTTCTGATACGTTTTTGGCATCAGAACGCTGCTATAATGCTATTGCGTATACTTATACATGGATACAACGACATGCTACTGCTACAGACACTTCGCGGTTCCAATCGCCTTATCTGCATGCACTACGACACGTGCACCACCTCAGATGACCCATGTACACGGCAGCTACACGTGAACGGAATCTTAGAAAGGAGATAATAATAAGTGCGTTAGGATGCACTCCTAATCTTTACAAATAGAGAAAAAAAACGGATCAAGATATACGTACTATAGGAAAGATTTTTGATCATCTGGAAACGTTGGAAACATATTAATAAATATAAAATGTGCCTATTTTGCTGCATGTATATTGCAGTGCAGTGTCCATGTGCATATTATTAATCAGTCTACTAACTGCCGTATCTTTAATATTGTGTTCAACTATATCCACCACTCTGGAAGATTTGACCAATCTTATTCATGTCTATGCTATAGGTATTGGTGCGCCAGCCACTTTCATTTGATGTTTATGTTATACTTAATGTCATCTTTATGTTTACTTTTGTATTATGTTTTATGAGCAGCGGATTCACATAAGCACAACAAGTGCTTTCTATCCAATGCTCAAAAATCCATGTGAATAAAATAAATAATTAGTCTGATCAGACGTCAATATCAGGTTTCTTTCTTTCACGGAACAGCACCAGTCTTCTAAAGCAAAGCAGTTGTTTTACACGCACAAAATCGTACCAGACTCATTTTGTCAGAAGACAACTAAAACACAGGCTTAGGCCATATTTATTTGATTACATGGATGACATCCTCTGGGAAACCCAAAACTGATGCAAGTGTGCTAGTAAAAAAAGTTTTGCAAAAAAAGGTACGTTGCCTTCATTATTTAATCTACGTAGTCATGAAGGTTGAACAAATGACTAAACAGACACAGTATAGGGTGGCGAATAAAGGACTCATCATTTTCGTGTCTTCACCTTTTTCTTGTTTTCTTTATAATTAGGAATTGATTTTGGCATTCTACGACAAAGGTATCGCATCAGGTCGTATGCAATTCATCCTAGATGATCTTTTGACTTCTGATTGTAAATAATTTTTCTGCATATTGATATTAAATCCATTTCCACGTGTTAAAGGGGCATCATGTAACATTAAGACGATACAAATTGTCTTTTGTAAGTTGAATCAACCCTAAACAAGGAGAAGTCGTAGACATCATCCCTCCATGAAATAGCTTGTTATTTTGTAATCTTTTGGTGTATTTTCAATAGAGATATTATGAGTCAAACTTTGTTTTTATCAGCAGAATGATTTGTGGTGGCACTTTGTATTTATCAAGCTGTCATGTGCAGGCGTTTAGTGTCTTGTTACCATGGTTTGTTTACTTTGATGGCCAGCAGGTCATTTGCCTTAGCCTGGGTACCATCCCCAGTAGTATATTCGCAAACTCTATAACTGTTATAGAGCTTGCGAATATACTACTGGGGATGGTACCCAGGCTACATTTGCCTGTGCATGTAGGTCAATGATCGACCAGACAGGCAAATGACCTGCAGACAAGACAAACAAGATTTATTTTCCTGCAGACTCTGTCTAGGGGTAAAAATAGATAGGGCTGCCTGGGTCTGACCTGCCAGCTGGAGGTATAAACAAAAACACTCTGTCCCAACTTTTGGGTCAAACAGACCATCCTATTATGAAGTAGGGGTGAAAAAGTGAAAATCCTTTTAAATTAAGCAATAAAAATATGCGAAAACCTGCTAATGCACTCCAAAACACAAAGAGACTCAACAACTACCCACATACCAAAAATCATACCAAACCATCCCCCAGATTTTCCAAACATTCAACACAAAAAGTCCAACATTAAACATTTTGTAAATATCAAACGCAAACAGCTAGGGGACCCAAATTTAAACCACTAAACCATGGTAATAACAACTACATGCTACCTTAATATCGCACAAACAGTCCATAACGCGAAAACAACAGAATAAAAAAATTAAACTGCAGTACCAAGGTCAATCACCAGGGGCTCAAAGTCAACCTACAAAATCTCCAAGGCCCCATCCATCAATCTGCCAAATATCGTACAGTTCCTTCTCACCGATCTTCAGATATCAGACCAAACATGAAACGGAGTAAAAACAGTACCCCCATTTTCATGGAGGGTAATAAGTGACATTCAGGAATTGGAGGTGCCAAAATATGACGCCTTATGAGTGGTTTAAAGCTGGAAACACAGCCATGTTTTTTTTTACATTGTAGTTTGTTGTGGCATAACCATATTCATTCATTCACGAGTTTCCCATCCCCAGAATGCATTGCGAAAACGGGTCTAAACCTCATTTGCATAGGACAGGAAGGCATCGGAATGATCCTGTTGACGTTAAACAGCTTGCTTTTCACTGTGTTTTGAGGTGTTAGGGCATTTTATGCTCAACATTAATCAAATTACTATGGGTCGAATCTGACAACACATAGAAAATGAAGTTTTTGTGTTCTTTTTAGCATGGAACAGGCATCAGTATAGCGTTACCACTGTTGTTATAAACCACATATTCCAAAAAAAAATCTTTCTCTATTTGTTGTCAAATTCAACCCATTGTGATTTACTTTAAGCATAAAATGCCCTAACACCTCAAAACACACTGGAAAACAAGCTGTTTAACGTCAACAGGATCATTCCGATGCCTTCCTGTCCTATGCAAATGAGGTTAATTAGACCCCCTGTTTTCGCAATACATTCTGGGGTTGTGAAACCCGTGAATGAATGTTTAAAATGTGTGGTAAATGCACAAATATGTTGAAAAGTGAAAATACATTACACGAATATATTTCTTTGAATACTTCAAAAATATTTACATTTTACGTACAAAATGTTATTTAATGCCCGTTTAAGAATAATCTACGATAGTTGACATTAAGAAGCATCTTGCGCATAGAATATGTACTGCTAATGTTTCATTTTAATGAGCCATCCATTATTTTTTCATTCAGTATAAGGCATGATATTATATATAAACAGTTACCTCAATGGGGAATAAAGAACCATGAAATGATAACAGCTTTAACAATTATTTTTGTGTTTGAATTTAATATTACAGCAACAAATGTTCTGCATTAGACTTAAATTCCCCCACTGAGGGAGTGGAAATATAGATCCGGAACAAAATATTGTCTAAGGCAATGTTGATTTGATTATATGGATGACATCCTCTGGGAACCCAAAAACTGATTCGAGCGTACGAATAAAAAAACGTTTGGGCAAAAAAGTTCATTATGAAATCTAGTGAATGATAGACTCTTCATGTTCATTCCTTAATATTTTCTTCTTGTTCTTTGGAATGGAATTCGGCATTCTGCGACAGAAGTATCTTTTTGTAATATTTTTTTTCAATTTACGGCATATATTTGTTCATTTTGTAGCTACTTTGTGCGATTTACAGTATGGTCGAAAACATTTTTTTGGTGGGAAACGGACGAAGAATCATGCGCGCGCGGATGTCATCCATATAATCAAATCAACATGGCCTAAAGTTGCTATTCATGACAACTTTTCAAACATATTCGCCATTATCACATTTCAAGTGTTGATGTGATAAAAAATGGCAGTGAAAGTGAATATCGGATTTCCTAACCCCGAATATTTTTATCATGAAAGTTCATCTGTGTTGGTAGTAAAACGTTAAACTTTAATCCAACACACAAATGCACAGGGGTCTCGTGTGAATATTGAAGGTCACGTGTTTGTAACCGAAACTCTCGCGAGATCAAGTTGTGAAGTGATTGGTCATTAATTATCCTGATGAAGGTGACAGTGACAGTGGTCGCTGGAAAATTTGATCCCTGTACAATTGTGTGCCAGAATATTATTTTCTGCTTTACCGCTCTGAAATTAAAAGTTTGGGAGGATTTCCTTAAATAGATAGATCTACTTTGTCATGTAAAAGAAATATTGACGTTTCATCACTCCGACCGTACAACTGGAATTTCAAAACCTACTGTAATTCCTGATTTTTTTTACGGTACTTTTATGTTCACTGTTTTCACAGTCACTTCTGTACAGTGAACTTATCATTACAGTTGAAAAAAAATTCCTGAACTTTCTATTTCCTGCACCAGTCGCCACCTTAAACATATAGTTTCATGAACATGTCCATTTTTCTAAGACTGTGAAATTATCCTACTGTAAATATAGAGTGAATTACAGTATTCGCCTGGGGGGACAATAGAGGTACTATAGTAATTATAACGGTCGCTGCTTCCCCATAGATTGGATTAGATGATAACAAAAGGGGCAGCATGAAATGGCGACTTAAGGCCACAGAAAGTAATTTTTATGGATGACATCAGCGCACGCATTAATTTTCGTCTGATTTTGAAAAAAAATGTTGCCCCCTGACAGTGGTCAACATGCCAAAAACGGGCAAAGATGTCGGTTGCCATGCCGGAAGGTGAATGGCAGATTAATATGAAGAGAGGAGGCAAGACAAGGCTCTGATTTATTGTTTTGTCCTTTTTTCTGTGATGCGGTATTTCATTCCTTTAGTATGTGATGTTCCTACTAAATCAAAACCGTTTTTACAATGATTGAGAGCTTTAAAGTTTATTTTTAGTGACAATGGATATTGTCATAGTTGGCAGTAAACTTAGCACAATATGGGTATCATTTCTTGTTTGACAAGGTTTATGATGTAAAAATTTGAAAATGTAGGATCTTGTGTTTTTTGGCCCGTCTTGTTTCTTTTTCACCCTTTTGCATTAGATTTGGAGTCTACGGAGGATGTCATCCATAACATTTACTTGCTGTGGCCTAATTTAGAAACGTGAGCAAAACATCATTGACCTAACGAAGGTCAAGCAGATCAGGAGCATGAAAAGTAGATCACTCTAAAATGCCCAACATAAAATATAGATCATAGAACACTGTAAAACATGGCGACTTGGACCTAGTATATAAGTAGGTCAAAGATTACGTCTTATTGCTGAGGTTACATATTATTGCTTAAACATTGGTTGATACTAGCATATTGAATGCGGAATATAGTAAACAAAAAATTAAAACCAGAATGTCTTCAATCATATGAATTGGTAGAACAACGGATATACTGTAGTTGGTCGTAACCCAGGCATATGACGACAACAATATACCCATTACCAATGGAACTACCCAACTACTAACATACAATGGAACTACCCAACTACAGATAACATACAGCATTTTACAACATAGTTTCCCATGCATATGGGTATAACCTTACACTTTTCAAGTCTAAGGTCAACAAACATCTGTCCTCACTGGCTGTACAGTAACCCAAAACATTTTGAGTGGCTCTCATGAGCCTTGTTTTGTGGTGAATCATGAAGTAAATAAAAAAAAAAACATTTCCAAAATTGATGAATAACAGATGTGAACTAGATTATTCAAATCACTTATGTAGATTACACAATTGCATGAAATTATTCCCCAAACAATAGCAACACATCTGCATACATGCTTTACACACAGTGTCAGACTGCATCTGAGCAAATGCTGATATTATGAATATGTAACAAACCTATCCAGCACTGAGAACGTAAACAATATTCCATACAGCACGTACTGGTCGAAAACATTATGCCTTCCCACGTGCATGTAATCTCAATAAACATATCGCTCGCTTCTAAGATATGCATTTCTATATCAATCAATGAAACGCTATACAAATGCTTGTTGCTTGAAAACCTATACAGGAGGTAACGAAAGTGTAGCTTTATAAAGAGGACATGCATGCATGGTATATATTTGTGTCTCCTAGAAATTTAAAACATATATAGGTTTCTTCGTTGCCATGGCAGCGACAGTTATTACCCCAAAATGCTGGGAACGAGCCTTGAGCAAGCGGAGACGAGGGCAGCAGTCAGCACGACTCCGAGGACGAACAGCACGGGCTGCATGGTGCTGGCCGTCACCGGGTCCTTCCTGGCCGCTCGGCGGGCGTGAGGCTGATGGACGCCGAGGGGCGCTGACGAGTGCCGCCGCCACCTCACCTGCTGCTCGACGCTGGGCGAGACGACGGTGGAGTATCGCCGCTGCCGCTGATTTTCGGCCGGCTTCACTTCCTTGCTGGCCCCGCCATCTTCGAGGATCGGGTTGGGGAGCAGGCGAGCCGGCATGGAGATGCGGCGTTTCTTCGTCTGGTTCTGCATCGGAGACAATTTCACCGTCTTCGCCGTCGTGATTTCATGTAGCTTCGGATCGCAAACCTGCGATCGGCGTCTCAGTACAAGTCTTGGCATTGTATTTTGCTCCTTTTGACAGTTTTTTAGTGATAGCAGTAACAAAGACGGCGTTCACCAAACGCCCAACAGACAATGGAGCCCTGTGGCGCCCCAGGTGTTTTGACAAAATGAATAGTCTAGCACGGCTTTTCGATTATTATGATATGCACGGCCAGACCTGCACATGTATACACGTGTGCATTGCGCAAAGAAACATCTTATATAGCCAACTCATCCAATCCTGGCGCGTCTGGCAATCTCTGAAATCATTTCAAGCACGTTCTCTTCTCACGAAGCGCCACAGATAATTGTCTGAAGGCGATACCCAGAAAATGATCTATAGCTGTGAACACTCCAGTTTCGTTTGAAGCATGCTTGTGTGTGTGTGTGTGTGCTTCCATCCACAGTGCCCCACCGCTGATGACGTAAGAGCTAAAAATAGCCTCTGGACAATCAGATGTCTGGACGTCATTCATTCTCTTCATGGCAACCAGATGACGTCATAATTACGTTTGCGTCAGGTGTAACATTGTATTATGCTAATGACCCCTTTTGACCTATGTTTCATTAATTGAATAACGTTTAGGCCACAACAAGTAATTGTTATGGATGACATCAGCGCGCATTAATTTCAGTCGCCTGATTTTGGGAAAAAAAAAAAAAAATTGTTGCCTTCTGACAGTGCTCAACATGCCGAAAATGGGCAAATTTGTCTGTTGCTATGCCGGAACGTGGATGGCAGATAACTATGAAGAAAGGAGACAAGACAAGGCTCTGATTTAATGTTTTGTTTCTTACTTTGATGCAGTGATATGTGATGCTGGCTGTGTATATGTGATGTTCCTACTGAATCAAAACCATTTGTAACATGATTGAGTAAAATTCTTAAACTGTAGGAACCTTTTTTTTTCGGCTCACCTTGTTTTTTTTCGCCCTATCGCATTAGATTTGGAGTCTGCAGAGGATGTCATCCATAAAATCCACTTGCTGTGGCCTGAAGTCAACGTAAACGAATAAAATGGCCAGGGGTTTTGAACGTTGTATATAGCTAAAAGATTGTGTCAGTTGTAAAGATTGGGCATGTACAATATAGGTAGATGATAAAGGTCATAACGTATTACAAAACAAGAGTTCCACGATCTCATACCTTCGCCAAATGATGTTATCCCTTCCGGTTAACGAATTATACAATCTTATTTATTGATTTTGCAAATAAGAGCCTCATTTGCATGGGTTATATCAGTAGATCATATTCTCCACCCAATGACAGCCTTATCTTAACAAAAAAAGCTATTCTGGAACATCCTCATAAATTATGCAAATGAGCTTATGATTTCAATAAATTATGTTTATTGAGTTCACCTTCACTTAACTTCCAAATGTGGCAAGTATGAAATTCCTAGCAGTTACAACTATGAAATTTTCAAAAATTACCAATAATCATGCATATTAGGTCCTATCATTGAACAAAGCAGATTTATAGAATTTTCTCTTTAATTATACAAATTAGCTCCTGATTTACATACTGGTCATCTGATTATTTCAATCATCACTTTAGCTACCTACATACCAAAAATCACGACAATCCATCAACCCGTTCTTGAGTTATCCTCCTTCAAAGATTTTTCAACTAACGCTCCTGCAGTTCAAGAACAACCTGCTAGGGGACCCAAACTCATGTCACTTCTTCCCTAGCCCAAGAGCTATTTACCGTCCAAAATGTGTGACCCTAGCATGTCCAGATCCTGAGATATCAAAACCGGAATTTCTGCTGCAGTACCAACAAAAGCCGCCAGGGGGCCCTGAATCTAATCATTTCTAGGTCTCACCAAGACCTACCCACCTACATTATAAGTTTCATGACAATGCATATAAAGCTTCTTGAGTTATGCTGTTCACAGACAGACAGACGGACAGACAGACGGACAAACGCTACTGAAAACATAACCTTCTTGGCGAAGGTCATAAGAAAACCACGTAGAACCTATTTGCAGAGCCGTCCCATTTCCAAATACTGTAACGAACAATCTCGGTGACCACAGAACCCCTGTAAAGCTAAGGTCCCAATTACGCCGGTGCCCGTCGGGGATGTAGCCCCGGCTGGCCCCGGCCGGGTTCAGGAGTCGAGCGGGCATCGGCTGTCGTGGTCACAATTAAAAGTTTTTTTTTTTTTTTGCATCTCTGTTTTTTATTGAGTATCGAATACATATGTACATAGATAATAAATTGTTACATCAGATTCATCAATAAACGACAAATACATATCAATTAAACGTAACGTCAGCTGCATAGAGAGCCCCACTTCCCGCGGTGCTTCTCCAGTTTACCTTTCTTTAATGCTATGGAATATTCTACAGTTTGAAAGAATTTAATATAACGAAGAAAGGAATCAAAGTTTAAAGAACTAGTTTTTCTACATCTAAATATATATATTTTGGCAAGTAGGGTTATAAGATTTTCAATTGGGGGGGTTCCAAAGTGTAAATTTCCAAAAATAACATTGAATCCATTTAAGAATGAATCTTTAGTTGTTTTATAGTGATACCAAGTTTTAATTTGGTCCCAAAAAGAGATAACGTTTGGACATTCCCAGAAGACATGCAGGTATGTTTCTTCCTCTTCATGGCAGAACGAGCACAAAGGGGTCTCTATACATTTCCAAATATATAGTAGTTTGTTTGTAGGTAGAAATTTATGTAAAATTTTATATTGGAAAAACCTAGTGGAAGAATCGATAGTACAATGTATTATAGATTAAACGCTTCCTTCAGTAGCATTTTGTCAGAAATTTTGTCACCCTCTTTGGTCGGTATCCGGCAGGTACCCGGCAGGTACCCAGCAGATTCTCTGACGATGTCTTGTATTGACCTATACGTAATGCAGAATTCACGTATTTGTTGTGATCATTTGATCTGTGAGGTCACACATTTTACCCGGGTTTACGAAGTACACACCTTTATTCTGTTCATCTGGTCTGTGACGTAAGAAATGTGTCCCGGTGGAATGCCGGCAACCGGAGGGGTACCTCTCGGTGTTCTCACGATGAGGTCACGGCGTCTTTTTGTCAGCGGGGCCCGGGTAGAATTTAACTCAGAATTAAATTCTTATCGGGGCCCCGACGGGCCAAAAAATAGCCCGGTAGCCGCAGGGTGCCCCGCGGGGCCACGTCGGGGTCCCGCCCGAAAGTGGTAAAAAACAGCCCGGGAACTACCCGCCAGGGCCCCTTTTCCCAATTGGGACCTTAGCTTAAAGTACTACTTCCGGGTCCCGACCAGTCTACTATAAGATAGGGGTGTCAGCACGATAACAACTTATCCGTATGATGGTAAATAAAATTTGAACGATCAGCCAGCCCTTGGAATAAAATTTCTCTTCGCTGATGGTTTATGAAAGGATTTGCACGTTGATTGTAGAGACTGATTCTTGTCTGTCCACCCCTATTAGGCAAAATTTTACCGCCACGAAAGTTATCAGACACTCCATGCAGTGCCCCACGACCATGACTTGGCACAGGGTACAAGGTTCAACTTACAAGACCAACTTAGGAGGCGCTTTGACACAAAACAACAGGACGGACCAGTTGTGTATGTGGATAGCGCGATGCTGCATTTGGAGAATTTATGGGGATCTGGGCATCGTCAACCCGACCAACGGTGAGGTAACCTCGCACGGAAAGTTGCGACACCCAGAAACTGGGACGATAAACCGTATTAGCGCCAAGCCACCAGACATGACTGGTTCGGTCAATGGGTTATTCCACGAGCTCTCGTGGGGGCTATATAGTCACATACACGTATAAGACTACCAGCTTGAAATACGTCCGATTCAAGAGTCGCCACCGCTACTGCCACAGGCACTGGGGATGATTCGGAGGCATCCCCAGACCCACAGCCATGAAGAGTGACGGGATCAGCATAGATATAAGGGAGCTGCGACAAGAAGAAGCTTCTGAAGTTCGAGACATGATCATGTCTGGACTCTGCCAACAGGTCGCTTCACATCGCGCCGTGATAAAATTTCTCCGTATGCCCGTTGGCTGGCTCTGGGTAGGCTTTCTTGTGGTGAGCTTTTGCTCAGTAACCAACTCGGTCAGGCTTGCATCGGTTACCTCCGCGGCAGTTTTGTGTCTGTTCGTCACGAGGGCACTCTTGTATGTCAGGTATAGGTATAGGAGATACTTTGAACGGCTGGAACTCCAAGATCTGTACACTTGGTACGGAACCAGGGCTGGTAGCAAGTTCTGGGTCGCAGTTTGCGAGGGGAAGATCATCGGGACCATTGCTCTACACAGGACGTCGGACAACGCAGCCCAGCTGAAGCGCATGACTGTTCTTCCTAGCTTCCGACAAAGGGACGTGGCCACCTGTCTATTGAAACATTGTGAAGAATACTGCGGGACTCAAGGTGTGGAGAGGATACACCTGAGGACCAGTCGGTTTCAAGAGGATGCAATACGCCTGTACCTGAAGTTCGGCTTCGCAATCACAAAGAAATTCACGTTTTTACTAAATATGGAGAAATTGACCTGCTGAAATGCTTTCTTTAACAACATTTTGATTCTCCTAGTTCTGTTAAGTTGACATGATTTCAGTAAACGTAAAAGAAACAAAGCCACATTTTATGTATTAAGTGTTGCAAGTAAAGTATTCTGCTTATGTGTTCTCCCGCATTCATATCTGGTTTGCTGAAGGCAGTTACAGACATTTGCTATGGAATGATTATGATGCATGTGAAAGAAATAACACACCAGGTGGAAAAAAAAAGAAATACGCAATGAAGCCTTACACAAGAGTTCCACGATCTCATACCTTCGCCACATGATATTAATCCTTCCAATTGACGAATATTTGATTTCGCAACTAGGAGCCTCATTTGAATAGATTATATCAGTTTATCATATTCTCCACCCAATGACAGCCTTATCTTAACAAAAAAGCTATTCTAGCACTTCCTCACTGCAGAACCTTGGATGATATGTTAACTTCAATAACTATAACTTCGATAAGATGACATTATGGACGATCAATCGCACGGTAAAGAATGTCAACATACGCTAAAGAATTTTTACATCATAGCCGTAAGGTTCTTTTATGTTGAAGCACAGTTGTGACAGCATTCAGCTTTGCTAAGGGCCCGGTCACATTTCCAAGCCTGGGCCCGGCCGGGTTGTTTGCGTGAACGAAAGATAAACAATTTGAATTAAGATTATACACAGATAGTGCTCATGGTTAATTTTCTAAAACTTCCTTTTTGTGTTTTGCTGTCTTATATCATAATTTTTGTTCCAAACGACTGCCCGCGGCCGGTCGGGCCTCGGGTTGGGAAAAGTGACCGCACTTTTAGAAAGCAAAGCCAGGGTATGGATGTCACACTAACGAATGTGTATATTTTGCTTGTGGCTGTGTAAACTGGGTGGATGGATGAATCACAATGGCTTGCTATTGAACCCGGCACCTTGTTGCCAGGGGTACGACAGACGATACCAGACCTGTAGCGTCTGTGGCGCAGACGGTAAACAAGACGGGCAGAAGAAATTGACATTCAAACTGGCAAGAAGCGCTGTTTCTGACAGTGTGTAGCTCAGCGTGTGTCGTGAGTGTGAATTAGTGTCAATTTACATAAGTTGTACGATTGTCGTACGATCTGAAGCTGAGTACATTCTTGTGGGAGTGCGTGTGTCCTGAAACATCCTGCTGTCTTGCTACGGACAAAAATCTGTTTGGGATGTTCGTCGGCAGTTGGTTCTGTCACAGCATGCTTGGAAATTCTACTACATCAAAATCGTACGACGGCCTACGATAAATGTGACCGCGCCGCACTCTACAGATTACTTCACGTAGACATAAGGTTGGTTGATTACTGTGGTTGCGGTTGTAGTGGGCCTTGTTGCTTAAGTTAAAGTCAGAAACGAAGACGGTATTTGTTTTCGACAGGTCATACGCATATGATAACGCATTAGGTAGAATTTCGTGCAGTATTGGAGTGCACAATCTATTTTCCCATTTTGTAGCGATTTTTTCAAAGTTCTTGTCTATTTATTCCTTCTCGAAACATTTGTCTTTATGTCTTCACCTGTACCCAGATGTTCTTCCAGTTTTTTCCGCAATACACGTATGTGTGTAGATTGTGTTGTGCTCCAGACAATAATAATTTATCCTTATTGACATATTTAATTTATTTATGATGCTACTCTCGTTTATTGTACATGTAATTAATTAAAAGCTACATCATGTTCAAACCAGAACAGTCCAGCTACCGCCCTTGATCCATCAAAATCCAGAAAATCACACTTAAGAAAAAAAACAAAAACATCTCAAACAGGTACCTTCACTGCACAGTTACATGTTTTGTTTTCTGAAAATTCCCAGGCCCTTCAGCCCCTCGTTTTACAAGAAGTTAACATATTGTATGATAATAGCTGGCGCGCAAAAATCATACAGTACACGTGAAGAAAAATGTATAGTGTGCACAGTTTTGTTATTGTATGTACACGAGAAACTGATCCAAAAACCAATGCAAACATCAAGATTAAATAATATGTTACATGCAGTTATGACTGTGATTCTTCCAGACTGTTCCAGCGACACTGACATGGACCACAGGCCTGGACACTTCCATCTGCCACTGACCATACTTCGGCCATCTTTCGACCAGAGGGAAATTCAGTTGAAAAAAGAGAGACTCAAAGACCAACTAAACAATCCAGAAGAGGTTGAATGCACAAAAATAGCTCTCTTAAACTTTATCAGTGTATTTGAGTATGCCTCACAGCATACAGACGAGGCCAGAAAGACCGCACAACAGGTTTTAGAAAAAGACCCATGTAACATAAATGCTGTTGAAAATTTGGCACACATCAACAGAAAGTTGGGCTTGGAAAGTGAGGCCGAACGACAGGCTCGATGTCAAAATGTACCAACTGCTAAGCACAATGTAAAGGCATGCGAAGCACGCTCCATGGCAGAGCAGGCATTTGCCCTAACCTACGATTGTTTTGACAAAGATCAAGATGATGAAGGTACAGAGCAAACTGAAAAATTCCTCAATGCTGAAAATCTTTATCAAAGGGCCATCAAAACTGGGAACGGAATTATTGAGCAAAGGGAAAAAATGACATGGTCATTTTTCAAAGCATTCAACAATAAGATGATACTTTCACGATACATTTACCTGTCTGTTCACAGGTATAGTGAGGAAGTGAAAGATAAGATAATAACAAATCTGGATAAAAGTATCGCTGGTTTTACTGATGTTCTCCACCAAGAGCCCACTCCACTGTACAAAGCACAGGCACTTGTTTACGTGAACTGTGTGATGTCCAGAACGGAGTATTCAGTAGAACACATGCGTATACCAGGTCTGCAGAGGGATATAGCAAGGTTCAAAGAACAGGTTAGCGCCTTGCTACAGGAAGAGGGGTCAGTCAAGCATGCCATAGAGTTAGCGAAAGACAATCACCGTGTCCTTAATACAATGGCCCGTGCGTTGAAAGGTACAGATTTTGAAGAAGCAGAAGATACGATAAGAATGTCCTTGGAAGCAGAGAGTAATCCTAACATCAACTGGTATGGGTACCTTTTAAATGGAGAGCTTGCCCTGGAGAGGTACAAACGTACATGTACCACAATCCAGAGCAAGAGAGATCCCGATAATGTTGAAGTTCTGAAACGTTCTATTTCAGATCTAACAACATGTGTGGAAGGAATGAAATCATCCAGAAATTATTCTCTGTTAGGAGAAGCTTTTATGAAGTTAGCATTATCAGAATCTTGCACATCTCTACACACAGATGATGGCAGAGAAACCGAGGTTTATAAGCACCTGGTACAGGCACTAATCTACTTCAATGAAGCTCTAACAAAGGACCGTGGAGCGAGAGATCCCAAAGTCCATGGTTTCCGCAGTGAGTGCTTAGAGCGTCTCAAAGAAGACAAAATGGCAATAGAAAGTTGGAAAAGGGCTGTTGAATTGGATCGACTATCAACTACATACTGGGGAAACATCAAGTCACTGCTGCTCATGCTTCTGAATCAGTGTAGAAAAATGTCAGATTCAGAAGACTTTCAGCCAGTTGTGGCAGAGACGGCCACCTATCTGAAGCTTGCACTGTGCAAGCATGAAACAGTCTATGACAAATTCATGCCTGCACTCATTGAGCAGTTTCCCGAACAATTTCTGCACGCAGCCAACTATTTCACGATCACAAATGACCTCACCATGGCAATGAGACTTTGGGACTGTGTAGACCAAACAATCGGCCAAAGGCCTCTTTCTCAAGAGATTGAAGAGAGAAGACGTCGAGTAAAGAAAGATATAGAGGACAGTCAAGAAGCCCTTGCTAACATTGATGTTCAGGAACCAAGAAGCAGCGATCATGAGCAGACAGCTGACAGCAACCCAAGAGAGGAGGGCGCCACAGGATGTGAGGAGCTAGAAGAACGTTTTCCAGCCACTGACGAGCAAAAAGCATTCATGCCTCTACCAGTAGTGAAAGCCCGGAACACCAGAGGTTTCCACTACGACTTTTTCGTCATCCACAGTGCCAAAGATGAAGAGTGGGTAAACTACACCCTTCTGGCAAACCTAGAGGGCGAGCATCGCCTCAAAGGCTGCATTGCTGACAGAGACTTTGAGCTTGGCAAATATGTTGTAGACAACATCACAGCAGCCATCGAGGAAAGTGCAAAGGTCCTCGTCATCCTAACACCAGACATGGTGCAAAGCAAATGGTGCAAGCATGAAATGAAGAACGCACTTCACGCGAAGGTGGAAGAGGGATCAGAGACCGTAATCCCTGTGCTCCTGAAGGATTGTGAGGTTCCTGATGAGATAAAGAACATTACATACTTGGATGCACGGAGGCATTTTGACTGGGACCACCTCTTGCGAGATATTAAAAAATGAAAACATTGAGTACAGGACGCTATGCTTGTATAATGGGCCTATAATAACTGTCAAATTTCTGTAATTATATTGTATATAGTGTGTGCTGAATATTGTATATGTGTATATTGTATAAATGTATAGTTTATAGTGTATATGTGTATTCATCAAGGTATACATGATATTATGTATACTTGCGGAGGCACTTGCATATGTATCTTAGTGCAGGGCCTTTAATGATTATGTTAATTCTATTATTTTCAAATTATGCTGTGTCCATTAAGGTATACATGATATTATGCAAGAAAGAAAGAAAGACTGCAGATTCAGTGCTATAATATGAATACTGGTACACGGTTAGAGTTGGCATATTTATTAAGAAGGCTAATATATCAGACTGGTCTCATCTATCTAAACATGAATAATATAAAAACAGTGCCTCTTGTAGAACAACTGCTCTATGGAATTTCTAGAATGTGGTGTCTAAAGCAATTTGTACAGGATTACATTTATAACAATGTACACATATAGTTTAAAAATTCATATCCTTGTCAGCTTCAGAAAGACAAGCTATCTTACATATGGATATAAACCTGAGGTAGAAACTGTAGTACATGTATGAGGTGTCGATATCCTTGCTATATACATGATAGCTCTGCAAAGAGAAGCACTACTAATCATGAACACAAGTGGGTTATTTTCATGCACAGTCTCTCTTCTATTCCTATATTGCTCTGTCACATCTAACATTAATAATTATAACTACTAGAACAGAAAACATCAGATTCTTTATTTATTAATCTTTCAAACATATGGTTAGTCCCTTATGATCAGTCGTTGAAGCTGTAGAGAAGACATAAGACATAAGAAAGCTTTATCAGCCTTGGCAGAACCATGAACGATCTGAATTGTCGCTAATTTAGAAATACAGTACCATATTTCAAGGATTAAAAACCTTAAGAGGACAGTCTGGTCCACCCATTCCTGAGTGGACCAGACTGATCTACAACTGTCTCAGGAAAGATCCCAGTAAGAGGCCTGAAATACAAGAAGGTCTCGACAGAATCTCAGCTATGGAGATTTAGTCCAACTAGTTATAGATGAGTGGGAAAAAGTTTCTACATGTTTTATTTAATTCCACTGAACTTCAAACCACACACGCATCAATGATTTCATAAAATTATATTTTATTAAGAAAATGGTTCCTTTTAAATAAGTTGGACACAATTGTTGAAATCATGTAAGGATGGTTAGCCTATATATAGAGTCCAGGAGTCCTTGTTAGCATTAGTCCGATCCACTCCCCAGAAGTCCAGGCTGAAGGTACATTTGTACATGTATTTGTAGTATATTACAACCAAATGTCAGATTAGGCCATGTTGATTTGATTATACGGATGACATCCTCTGGGAACCCTAAAACTGATGCGCACGTGCAAACAAAAAAAAAAGTTCTGCAAAAAAATTAAGTTACTTTCATTATGAAATCTACGTGGTCATGAAGGTTAAACAAATGACACAGAATATGGTTTGGCGAATGATCTACTCTTTTTGCAAGTTTAATATGGTATATATTTGCTCATTTTGTAACTGTTTTGTACGCATGGTTGAAAACTTTTTATTTTTGGAAACGGCCAAAAATTCATTTGCAGATGTCATCCATATAATCAATTCAACATTGCCTTAGGTAATAGTATTTAATCGTTAAACTCTAATCTACATGTTTGTGTAGATCCAAGGAGGTTTTAGCAAAACTCTTGGTAGATCCAAGTGTAACAGCTTCCAGAATGGAATTTTTCTTGTACATCTAAATTAATGTTTCATGATATTGCTTAATTTTCGTTCATCAAGAACATATCATAAACACTGTCATATTTTATGAGCTTAATCTTATATTCAAATACATTTTAAAAATTGCATCTTCAAATGTTGTATGTCACAGTATGTATGTCACAATTGCACTACATTCGGAAACGCATTGTAAACAGTAAAAAAACTAGCTTAAGTGCACTGTGAACCAAGTAACAGTGCACTGTGAACCATGTAACACCTTTAGTGCACTATGCACCAAGTAACATCTAGCGTCAGTGCACAGTAAACCACTATGCACCAAGTAACATCTAGCGTCAGTGCACAGTAAACCAGTCAGAATTGCCCTGATGAAGATGACAGTCATCATCATCAAAACATCGGCTCATGAAAAATAAATGGTTGTGATCAAAGAACTTTGCTATTCAGTCTGGTGTTTTGTTTTAAATTCTTTTACAGTGTACATGTATCTGTGGTACTTTCATACAGATGTCTCTGTGTAGATGGGAACATTTGCATTTTCCAAAATAGTTTCATAAAACTTGCTGGTGATTTCTGTCCTCGGATCATCTTGCTCCTCTGCACTATCCCCATGTTGTGGACCTGTAAATGAAAAGGTAATTATAATACATTGTATATACAGGTAACCACATTTAACATCACATTGTAACAGTCAGTGGTTAGGGCAGATGGTTTGTGACCAATGTTAACTCATGATTCATATGTTCTGTGTTAACAATTGTACCCTTGGGAAAGGCACTCTACACCTACATGTATACGTCATGTATATTCCCTCATGTGAAGGTGAGTACCTAGCATCTGTTAGGGATGTCCTCTTGGACAGGGCATAAAGCCAAAAGTCCTGTGTTTGTTTGTTTGTTTGTTTCCCATAACCGGTAAAATGCCTTTAGGTGTAACACACCAGTTTTGTACATGTACGAACATGTACAAGCTGCGAAAGACCGGACTGTAAGGTTTGAACCACTCACACTGGGAAGGTCCCCTACTCTTTTTGATAAGTGTGGTGGGTTCTTTAACGAACGTGGGGTGTGACTCTCCCCAAACACGGGACCTCCATTTAACGTCCTATCCGAGGGACGTCCCTAGCCGAAGCAAGGTACTATAGTACTCATTTACACCTGAGCAAAGTGAGGAAAGTCGTGTAAAGTGCCTTTCCCAAGGGCACAAGATCGGTGACATGGGCAGGATTCGAACCCGCGACCTCTTGAGTGTGAGCCGAACACTCTACCGGCTGCGCCACGCAACCCCAAGTGTTCTGGGAGATTCTGAGACACATTGGGCATGTTAAGGATTCCATCACACTTTTGGAAAAGAACAGGAGTCCTTATTCCCAGTGTGTGTCTGGTCTTATCATGAAAATGATTATTAAGTCATACACTTGTTATGTCTAGTATGGTCTACTATCCTTCCACAAATCTTAATAAACAATTCTAAGACAAAACAAGGATTCATCAGTTGTTTGTCTTTAAGTCTATTTATTCTTGATGTACATTCTTGCAATGTTGTTGACAAAAAGTGAATTAGTATATGGGGGCAAATTGGTAGGGCTGGGGGGCTATATATTCAAGGTCTGGGCATTAGAGAATGATGTTTCCTTTCTAATTGTCAAACAATGATGCAAGTGTACAAAATTTGCTTGAGCTACCACAGTGATGTTTTAACAATCTTGTTTCTTTCATACTTGGACTCATAATATTTTACTTTCCTAGTATGGAGCTTCCAAAAATTCATGTCATATCCTGGCTGTATGTGTACAATGTACATGTATATGATTGCCAAATCAGAGCAATGCAGTGTCTTTCTTGTGTACTTTTGCATGAAGACAACTTATGTAATGCATAGCTTTGGTGTCATCCTATTTGTATACCAGGGTTTGCATGCTCATTTCCTAAAACAAAACTGTGAGTGTACATGCAAGGAGCCACATAGCAAGTCGAATGGCACCCAGGCTATGTAATGCAGAGAACAAAGTAAAACCCACAAACCTTGGCTGGCCACCTCATCCTTGGAGCGCGTTAGACAGCGAGGTATCAGACGGTACAGGATGCACGAGACAAGACAGACGACAGCGTACGTTCGGAACAGAACAACGCCGCCAAATGCATGGAAGATGGCACCACCAATGAGAGACCCCGATGCAAAACCTATAGGGAAGAGTGATGCGATAAAAAATTGTTATCTTTTCAATCAAGGAACAGGGAATTGGTGTAATCTCCAAGCAGATCTCTGGATCCAGGACAGTTACACATATTATGTGTTTTATTAGTATTTTATTATTACACATTTAAAATACTAATTGGCCCAAGATTGGATCGGTTAGTAGCTAACCAATGATCATTGCTAACCAATCAGATCTTGGAGTTGGACTCAGTCAGAAACTGTCACAATTTTGCCCACAAAGATCTGCTTGGAGATTATATCAGCAGTAGTGCTGCATCTTTAACACATGACTAGGCAATGTTGGCAAGTGTTTAAAATTTGCTGCTATTGACTGAACAGCGTCCATTGAAATAAGGCACTGCTGAGTATTTGTGGAAGGAACAATAAAAAAATAGGTAAGGGTACTAGTAAAATAAGTCTTTAAGTAACCAGGCTAACAGGCTAAGATAGGAGATAGAGGAGTATGGAATAAAAGATCACTTCAAATCAGCACAATAATAATTGGTTTCCAAATTCCCTGTGCATGTGCTGTTCATGGGATATTCATTGTCTACTATTCTACGTACAATTTTAAACCATGGAAATAACCCTGGTACCAAGGATAGCTCTTCGTAATAACATGTTGCTGCATTTGGTATCCTTGCTTATATGTTTCACTATAGCTTAGGCCACACCAATTTAATTTCTTGGTTAACGGATTCTTCTGCTTCATTTTTTTCTGATTTGCAAAAAAAAAAAAATTCAGAATCAACTGGAAAATGCTCATATTTTGCCCTGAACAGTTGAAAACAGTCATTTTCTTCCTACTTGTTACAGTTATTCCATCTTTCAATGCAGTGGTATAATTAAAAGTTCAAAATTCATTGTTTAAATTTTGAACCAGCCTGGTGTGTTGACTTCATGGTTCCTATCGTACCATTTTGGGCCATAATAGGATGCCTAGGCCTGTTTTTATTTTTTATTTTTTTGCTCGCCCGCTCCATCATATTTCTAGAAAAATCCGTTAACCAAGAGATTAAATTGGTGTGGCCTTAACATGAGAAATCAAACCATATACTTACCAACACCAAACTGGACTGCACCCACGATGCTTTGCATGGTGGTCTCCATCCCTGGCGGCGCGATCAAACTGGCGTACGTTACGGAGGCGGAAAACATGGCCCCAAACGTGATGCCGTGTAGCGGTTCTATTGCCAGCACCCACCACGGACTGGGTATCAGAGAGTACGACAAAAACTTGACGGCGTAGCAAAACAGTGCGAGCTGGAAGACCTGCTGGTGGCCAATCTTACGTATCAACTTTCCTGAGAAGAACATGAAAGGGAGTTCACCCATGCAGCTGATCATTAAAGCAAGCCCCAACAACAGCTGACTGCCTCCTATGTCTTTCAAATACCAGAAAAGGAAGTTAGCCTTGGCACCGAAAGATGACCCAATAATGAACATGATTACAAGGAACAAGAGCTCGTTGGGTCTCCTTAAAAGTTTCTGTAGGCTTTGAAACATCTTCTGAGGTCTTTGCTGTCGCCACTTCTCAAATCCAAAAGCAACTGTCAGCAACGTGGCAGTTCCAAAACCGGCAAACATGTAAAAAGTGACAGAATAGTCAGTTTCGTCTTGATTTTGTCGTCCTTCGCTGAAATTGTCCATGGCAAAGCCTGCAATCACAGAGGCAAGTCCAAATCCTACAGCTCCCCATAATCGTTGTTTCCCAAAATCAGAGGGGTTGTTTTTCAATAGTTGCATGGTGTGAGCATCGGCCTGCGGTACTGATGCATTCTGCAAGGCTTGAGCTGGCACTAGGAGGAAGAACAGAATCCAGAATGTCCATCCCAGGCTTGTGTCTGTGTCTAGGTGGTTCACTTCTACATCACAGTCACTGTCTGTGGTATTGCACGGGCACAGAAAACAGCCACTTTTTTTAAAGCACCACAGCTGTAAGGTTGTACTGTTTAGTGTTTGTCTTGTTATGTTCTTATCAATATTAGTCTTAACAAAACTGTCATCTTCTTGAATATTGGAACAGTTGCATAGTCCTTGAGCTTGGTAGAGTAAGACTGGAGACTGCAGCCTTGGATTTTGGGTAGAAGAATTTCCACAGCACAACTCACAAGAAAAACAGTCGTCGCTAATTCGTGGCTCTCCCCTTTTCACAGGAGGCACGAACATGGTAGAAAACATCAGACAGTACGTCAAGAAGAGGCAGAGCATCAGTGTCTGCTTGTGTCTGTCAAACTTGTCTGCCACAGCGCCCAAGATGGGCTTGAGGAGGAAGGTGAAGAAAGGATATGTTCCACTGATGATGCCAGCTTGGTAGGACAGGAGGCCCAGATGTCGCAGGTACACAGATATGTAAGGCACGAAGCACGCAATTCCTGCACCGGAAAAAAAAAAACAGACACATTTCAGACACGTTGCTGCAGTAAAATCTAGAGAAATATGTTAGCTAGTAAGAATTTCCTTTTTTTTTTCATTTCATGAAACTTTAAAGTAATCTAATATCAAGAAATAACCAAGGAGGTTCAAATGAAATAACTTAAACCTAAACTTAACCAAAAAAAAAAACATAATAGAATCAGAAAATCCCCAGGTCTAAAGTCCCTTAAAATCCTTTGTGTCTGGAACGAACCCGGGTGAAATGTTACCTAAATTTGAAAAAAACAACGCAGTACTGTTTGTAGACATTGATCTGTTTGCCTGTGGTCTGGAGGGGTCATAGGCCACAACGCGTACGTATACGTCTGTTTTGCCCAGAAGCATAATGTTTATTTGGTAGTGTTAGACAGAATGGGGTACTTTTATCTTAAAATGAAATAGCCTATCAGGCCTTGGCATGCTTGTATAGCATTGCTGTAATGTTATATGTATCAGGAACAGTGTGCTTTAACTAAAAACTGGTAATATTTTTGAAAAACAAAAAAATTATGGATAATGTTTACCATCGCATATGGTCTGCTCTCTAAGATTCTTACTAGTACAATGTATATGGTGACAGGAGTCTAAATCCCTCCTACTATAAAATTGCAACATTATGTAACCTAACACCAGTTACCATTGTGACAGACGGTCATGATTCAGGTCATTGGCCAGGTCAGTGTTTGGAATGGAAGAAAAAACAGAGCAAAAACAATATGTTTTCCTTCGGTAAACATAAATAGTCAGCTCTTTATACTATAACTTATAGGGCACGGTTCTGGAAGCTGAGGATAGTACACATGTATCCAGAACATCTTTTTGGGCTCTTGAACAGAACATTATAACCTCAAAAAAATCTACGTTTTTTGATGTAAAGACCATTCAGACCCGTGTCTGATCCTAATACTAATACTAATAGAACTTGATAGACACTGCAAGCTTAGGTGTTTATGTTCTAACTTTATACTCCTACTATTCACGTTCCACGTGAGCCAAGACTAAGAGCTTACCGCCAAAGAATAGGAAATAGTAAAGCTTCAACGTCACAAGCTTGCAGTCGACCATCGTTACTTGTGGAGGTTGTATTTTTCTCCGCGTAAATTCCAAAGGTCATCCAAAGGTAAGACAAGTCTATTCTAAAAAGGAGGGGGGACGTGTACCAACAATTGTTTTCATAATATAACTTTAACTCGCGTTTTTCTCTAGTGTAAACTATATATATATATATTTTTCGTATAGGTACAATTTTCTGTATCCTGTTTTCGTATGTGCACATAAGAAAGAGAAGTTCTAAGTCTCCTAAAACCCCTTTCTACTAGAGTCGAATAACCTGCACTGACCTTGGGTTGAAAGGTTACGTCAGGTCATGAAAGAGCCTGATTACCTAAATCAGTACACAAAATGTGCGTTTGAAGTGTAGGCAGACCCACAACAAATAATCCGCGGGCATCAGCAGGCCCACTATAACACAGTAATCGGCTATTACAACATCAGGGTGTACCAATGGCATTCTGCATTTTTATATCAGTCTAAGAAACTATTCATTGCATTTTGTTGACATTTTTATTGTATTACGTAAATCCAGATAATCCTGAAACTTTTTGGTAGATAGATTATCAAAATATTACGCTGGGACCACTTTTATGCCTAAAATTGTCATAAAATTTACGTTATACTGTTGCACTTAAAATATGCAATTTTTCAAATAAGCTATTATTTTTTTTGCAAAAAAAAAGTTGACTTCATTATGGAATCTAGGTGATCATGATATGAAGGTTGAACAAATGACTTAACACACAGAGTAAATATAGCTTTCTAGAAATAGTTGGAAAGTTTTGTCGTTTCAATACGAAAACAAAGAACTGATTATTCTATTGGCATGGTGAATAATACATTTTTTCCTGTCCTTTGGAGTGGATTTTGGCTTTCTGCGACATAAGTATCGTTTTCCCGTATATATATATTTTACGGCATACATTTGTTCATTTTGCAGCTATATACATATACTTTAAACGATTTACAGCATGTATGACATCCATATAATCAAACGATATATATAAGAAAATTCGTGTAGAATGCCTGAGTGCTTAAGTACCATCCTCTTCAGTTACCGACGGAGAGAACTACATATTGCACAGATAGAGGATTTTCCTAAAGACGCAACATCGAAACACCTCTGACATGTAAGATCTGACCTACGCTGGGATGACCAAGTGAATGAGATGGTTACTAAAGCCAGCAAGCGACTCTTCTTTATCAGCAGACTACGCCGTTCTGGGGTTCCAACTACTGATCTGGTTTCCATCTTCTGCGGTTACATCCGGCCGACACTTGAGTACGCCGCCCCCTGTTGGAGTTCTGCAGTGACACAGAAACAGTCCGATGCCCTAGAGCGCGTTCAGAAACGAGCCTGCCGAATCATTCTGGGACGCAGGTACAACTCGTACACCGAAACCCTAGCGCTGCTCGACTTGCAACGTCTGGCGGATAGAAGAGAACACTAACTAATGTGCTCTGACTTTGCTACGAGCGTGGAGAAGTCTTCACGCTTCCGGTCCTGGCTCCCCCCTACCCGTGGCGAACTGCATGGCAGAAATCTACGAAATGCCACGAGGTACCAGCAGCCCTCCGGGACCAAACGCTACACGACAAGTGGGATCCCTGCCCTGGCCAGGCGACTAAACGAACTGTAGTCCATGAACTTTTACTCGCAAACTCGTACAGTAATTCCACATAATGTTTTTATTTACTTTCCTCACAGATATATTGTATGTCGATTTTAAACTAATATTCGCTTTTAAATTCAACTTTTAAATTCAACTAGATTTTATGAATGTACATAGTATGTCGCTACATTATGTTAGAATAAGCCTCGCAATTCAGCCATCATAGCTGCTAGGAGGCTTGTGTGTACATTGTCTTGTTTCTGTTTTTGTAATAATAAACCATTCTCTCTCTCTCTCTCACATTTGAACTCAGATCCTCTTAATTTGATGGCAAATGCTTTAACCATGATGCCCCACAACACCACGGTGGATTTTGGTAATCACTAGACCCAATTCATCATTGAACTAGAGTTCCATGACCTCATACGTTCGTCAGATGATGTTTTAAAATCTTTATGACTGAAAAAATTAATTTATAGATTTTCCCCGATTGTGGAAGTACATGTAGGATCATCCTCATTTGCATGAATTTTATATATAAGTTGATCATATTTCTCACATACACGAACGCCTCTGAAAACATAACCTTCTTGGCGAAAGTAACAAAAGTGCAACAGAAACACATACAGATACTTGTTTGACTCATAAGTCATACTTTATTCACATACATATCTCAACACAGTCAAATATTAACCTTCTCGCTGCTGCGTTTCCCCCATAGGCCATAACCAAATACAAATTTGCTGCCATAAATCTTTTCAGTAGGGAGACGGTTAAAGGACAAGACACGGTACATGTATATTCATAATATTTTTAATATACAAGTACATATCTATCTATAAAATTACACACAGTAAAATAAAGGTCTCTGTAACATATAACAGTAGCCTACATCATATTGCACGTTCCATATTAAAGCTACTTGACAATGGAAGGAAGAAAAAAAGCAACAACCCAAAGCTAACTACGAGTTCATTCTCTGCAGGCCCCTGGATCCCCCTAAAAGTATTAGAACTTAGGGATGCAAAACCTTTGTCACTTGGTGTTAATTAAACAAAATTGAGATGACAAACATTTAAGGCTGGATAGAACATTGACGAGAAGCCATTGTATACCATGCTAGGCCACGTTGATTTGATAATTTTGGATGACATCCACGCACGCATGAATTTTAGTCCGTTTCCAAACAAGTGCTTTTAAAAAAAGCTGACATTTCAGCTGACGAAGGTTTTACTGCCGTTATTGAGGTAGAAGTTGTTGAAATGATATTACCCAAGTTGATGAAATTGGTACGAGACCACTTAAAGAAGAAAACACATCTGATAAAAAAAGCAAAACAGCGAATGTTAAAAAGAAAATTTAAAAAACTCATACGTCGAGACTTGAACAATTAGTTTTTGAGTGTTAAAAGCAAAACAGCGACTGCTAAAAAAAGGAAAATAAAAAAGCTCCTCTCCGGGGATCGAACTCGCTATGTGCAAACCCCGCCACGTGCACCGCAAAAAAAGAAATTAAAGAAGAACATAAAAAA